CATCAGCTATTGCCAAAATTAACGGGGAATACATTTTTTTCCGAGCTAACTTTGGCGCAGATTCCTTTGAAACTTTTAAGAAATTTGTTTCGTACTCTGCAGAAAATCCACTGAAATTCAAAAAAGAATTCGCACAACCGTTTTCATGTAAGCAATTAAATATTATAAACAATTGTCCAAATATATTTGACAAGTGCTGATGTGGCTCGGTTCTATATTCTGCATAGCGCTGCCCAAATCCTCCTCTCCGTGAGGGTTGTTCCACCGTGCGCCGACCGGTTCTTGTCGGCCTACCCAATTCGAGCCGACGAGACTTACTTCAGACGGAGAGGGAAAAAAGTCACTCGTGCAAGTTGTTGCCGAAAAAAATAAATATATAAACTTCTTTTCCGACCGGAATTCGCTTTCTTTTCTTTTCGTCTCCCTGCGATCCTGGGTCTCTGCAGTAATTCAACGATGAGAAGCGAAAAAGCTATATTTAAAGGCTACACTGGGAAAAAAAACACATTTGATCTATGGTCCAGACTCTTAAAAACATCGACAAGAAAAAATACTCTTGATTCAATCGGATTTTTGCTTCAATCAAGAACCAAGCCTCTTAATTTGAGCGGATTTTCTTTTGATTTAGGCTTAAATCTGACTGAATCACGAGTACTTTTTCTTGTCAATATTTTCAAGAGTCTAGATCCAATTTGTTTTTTTTTTCCAGTGTATAGAAGCTATATTTTTATACATATTAAAAATTCGAAAAATAAAATTTGGTTTTATCTGATTATTGAACTATAATAATTTATCCTCATACCGGGTACGGGCCACGCACGCAATGATGAAGAATTAGGCGCCGGCTAAATTACTACATCGGTGGTAAAACTACCAAACCACGTACCTCGTTAACTGTGTCTAAAAATCTCCGATCTTGTTTAATTTTATAAGGTTGAACAAAAAAAAACAACATTCCTTGAAATTATCTCAGAATTTGCATCACACGGAGAAGAAAAATCACGGAAAATTATAAGAGTTGACACTGCGCGGTTTCAAATTTAAAATATAAAGTATGACAGGAAATATGCCACGTCCAGATCGAGATTTAAGGTTTAGGAGTTTCACCGTCGATGTACTATTTAGGAGGTTGATTCCTTCGGGCATCGCACAGTGGATCGAGTCAATTAGAGAGGTCGGACACGAGATATTTTACAAAAACTGCGAATTTTAATATTTATTTCGTCACATTTTTAACTTCAAGGGGTGCTTTTACAAGACAATTTTACGAGAAAACCAATGAAACCACTTTTAAAACATTAAAATGTTGTTCAAACGGAGTTATAAGCGTTTCCAGTTTTCAAATTTTGTCCGACTTCCTTATTCAAACTTCCTATGTTAGCGGTTTTGAAATTATGATTTTGAAGTTTTTGTACATTTTATTGGACTATAATTTGCTATAATTCGAAGCTACAATTTCTGACTCATCTGTAAAAAATCTTGTGTGGGTACGAAAACTACTAAGAGTATATACGTTGTTCCTAAACGAAGCCAGAAATTGTGGTTCTTATTTGCAGAATGAAGTTCATTTGATGAATAATCCCGTTCGAAGCGTGGGGTATGGATTCGATCGACACGAATCGATCGAAAAGTAAGAACGTAACTTGGTCGACACCGATTTAATCAAAAACATTTTGAAAAACGGGTAGGACATAATTGACATAAATCGGTCAAACAAACAAACAAACGTTCGTGTTTTAACAAATAAAAACACGAACGGGTCGATCACTTTAATCACTGTTCACTTACAATTAGCATTCCTCGTATTAATACAAAATTTAGTTCCAGCAGAGGTTTTACTTTCGCAGAAGACGGTCATTCCCTGTTCCCCAGTTAAAGGTATCACAAAACACTTTAGAAGGGCTAAGAACCAAAACCAGATTGGACCACGTTTAGCAGAAAGGAACCAAGGCACATCAGCTATTGCCAAATTTAACTGGGAAGTTCAATTTTGTACAAGAGAGCGTTTGTGCGGATTCCTTTGAAAATGTTAAGGAACTTGCTACGTATTTATAGAAATTTCACCGAAATTCGCACAAAAATCCGCACTACCCTTTTCATGAAAAAAATTAAATTGCCCAGTCATATTTGGCAGCAGCTAATGTGGCTTGGGTCCTTTCTACTTAACGCGGTCCATATGAAAATAACAAATTCCGGTAGTTGTCATGAGAATTCTTAGGTTTCGAGGTGACTATTCTCTCGAGCATTTCCACCTAACCCAGTTGTTTCCTACCATGCAGATGAACTTATGCGAGAGATGGAGAGCAACAATCAGTGGCGCGACGTGCTTTGCGATATATCGATTGATCTGCCATTGAAACAAATGGAAAATGATCGATAAACAGTGTGTTCGCGATGAACACCTTAAAAATCGATTCTTTTATCATGATTTTCAATGGGAAAATATCGATGATCGATCATTCACGCCTCGCCACTTGTTTTATACTGGAGACGATCCATACTAGCAAGACCACCATTCTCCGATTTTCATCCGTAATTTTCTTCATATCAATGAGCGTGTGGATGAAAACTTAAAATACAAGACCACTGCATTTTTTCAAGCACATCGGCCGTTTTATACAGGAACCGTAATGGAAAATCTGTGATGAAAACCTTTGTACTGCTGTACTACGAGAGAGAACGCCCCAAAAACTGCCCCAAGACGTTGCCAAATTTACATGTGTGGTGATTTATAGATCGCATGCAAAAATCAAATCAGCAATTTTGTAAGATGCCTAGGCAAAGTATCGAAGCATTTTGAAAAGGAAAAGTACCATGCGATAGTTCGTAGTTCGATAAATTATCACTTTCAAAACATTGACACTTTGAGAGCTCTTTGTAAAAACATACTAAATTTCGTTAACTTTTAAAATTCGACTTTCTGCCTGAAGCTTTGACATGATGACTGAACTGGGACTATTCTTCTAATTCTATAGATTTTATTCGGAGTTTTAGATGAGGTATATGAAAAAATACGAGGGAAAAGATTGATTTCTTTCATTCGACCCAAGCAGCAATATGAAAATATATATGAAAAAAAAATTAATGAAAAAAATTTAGAAGATAAAGAAAATGTAGCAATCCCCCAATAGGGATGATTCCGGCATTATCCGGGCAGACACGCAGCCGTGAGTTTGGTTTAATTGGTCGGCTCGACCTCGGTCCCCGATCTCCCTAGCCAGCTCCTGATCAGAGCAACTTTCTAAATTAGAGCCTAAACCAACATATGATAGTTTAACCATCTAGATGACCATCTGGCCGAAACCCACCCCATGTTGGGGTGGTAGTGCGAAACGGATGGAAATCGAAACCCCCGACTTTGTTCACACAGCCGGCGGAACAAGATGCTTAAATTGTCATATCTTCGATAAGATTCGCCACTTTTTCTCCCGGAAGAACTACAAAAAAAAAAAAAAAAAAAAAAAAAAAAAAAAAAAAAAAAGAATATGTAGCTAGCATTAAGGAAAGTAGATAGAAAATTTAAAAGGAGTGCCACTATTTTTCAAAGAAAAAAGGTATATTTCCTGTCTACAAAATGGATCTATTTTCCGTCTAGAAAATTGATAGGGCTATTTCCTTGAGAAAAAGTATCCAAAAACCTGATGAAAAATAGAGAAAAATTGGATATTTTCTTTATCTACTTCTTAGAAATTTAAAATTCAGAAAACAGATAGAAAGAACACAGAACGTAGACAACAAAATTGTCTGTTTTCCTTGTATTTAGTGTCCGGAACACAGACAGAAAATAGAAGTTTTTTAATAATTTTCTTACTTCTATTTATTTTGATGCATCTATTTTCTTTCCATTTTCTTTCTATTTTATTTTTCTGTCTGCAAAATAGACCATTTCTAAATTAGTGCTAAACAGAAAATAAATCCCCATGCTACTTGGGGAAATAGATGTTTTCTTTGAGGAAATTTGGCGACTACCAAATATTCATACGACGTTTCCCGAGAGCACAACAGTATGTAGATCCGTGATTTTCTTTAACACGGTTCTCACGGCAAACATCAGCGCCAGGCCGAAGGCGCTTGGCGTTCATGTGACTGATGAACGGTAACGCGTCAGCGGAGAAGCAAGGTGAAGCTGCTAAAACCGCGTATCTTCTAACATATTTTTCAGGGCACATGGGAGGTTCTTCCATCGGGGGGACGCGGCCGAAGGCGGTGGACCCCTGACGAGGAAATGAGAAGGTGAAACGGGAAAAAGGAAAAAGGCGAGCGGGGGAGAGATTGAAACGACAAGAACAGAGGGCGCGACAAATCGCCAGGAAAAAGGAATGATCATTGTTGATTACACGAGCGAGTTCACCCTGGCCGAGGGGCGCGGGAAGCGTACCAAAAGTCGGCTCTGAATACCGTTCGTTCAGTTCTAAATTGAAAAAAAGGAAGAAAGAAAAAAAAAAAACACCGGTGATGGCCAGTTTTTGTTTGCCTTTGCATCTTGATGGTCGACTTGCGAGTGTAATGTGAGTCAGTTTTCAAGAATTTTAAATTACCCTCTTATAGAGAAATCATTCAAAAATGCAAAACCGTGTACTGAGAGAAATCGTAGGAGCACGATGGTATGAGAGAACCAAAGACATGCATAGAGATCTAGGCATGGAGACGGTGACCCAACATATTAGTAAATTAGCCATTAGTTAAGAAAACGGGGACGTCCCGTAAAGGGTTGGCGGCAGGGCAGGGCGTTGACGAAGAGATGTTGCGGTGTCAGTTGCCCGATAACCTCTGGGAAGACAGGCATATGTGGCGTTTGGGTGTCGTAGAACGCCAGAGTGCGTTGTAAAGCGACTTTATATATACATTAAGAAAAACGTCTTCATAGTCATCCAAATACAGAGGCACTCCTGCTATTAGATAACACTACAGAAACGGGACGCCTCAAGAGGGTGAAGGCCTGGGAGCTGGCGAACCCCCAGGTCTAAACCAATAGGTATAAGACAAAACAAAACAACATATTATAAATTATGTAAACTACTCTATTGTTTGCAACACCCACTTCAATTTTTAAATTTAGTTACAATGTGTAAAATTCTAAAGTGTAGAAGTTCACAATAAATGCTTAATAATAATAAAAAAAAGAATTTAAATACAACGACCGAAATTATAACATTATTTGAAATACGAATATGCGGGTTCGTCGAATGCAACAACAGAAGGGTGCCCTCGGTTGGCGTCATTCGTTGAGATGTCGCAAGGTTTTGAAAAAATCGGGATCTAAACAAATACCGGCCCCCGGTGTCTTAGCGGACGGTGCTGGGAATAACAATGGTACTGTAAACGATCAAGTTATGAACAATCAGCATGTAAATACAAATTATACAAGGGCAGAATCTATTAGAATAGGTCTTCTTATATACTGTACAGATTGTATAACGATGTATCCATATTTTAGATATAGCATTGCACCAAATATTGTACAAACAGGATTATTCAAAAGTCACGCATAACTGGCCATGACTTTAGTTCTAATTATGATATAGACTTGCGGTTTACGACGTTTTCCCTTATATCGAGGGGGAAACTTTTGCAGGTACTTTTCAATTTTTGATCCCCTTTGTGGGAGGGTAGCGGGGGCAATTCAAAAATTTGAAATGGCCACCTCCCTCATGGCCAGATGGTGCGTGACTGATGAATAACCCTGTATGCACTTTTCTCATTTCGGGTGAGGGCACTTTGTATTGTCTTCTCATTCAAAGATGAAAAGAGTTGAAAAAACGTTATTGCTTGAAAAAAAAAAAAAAAGAGCAAATACCGGGATAAGACTGATACGCCACATCACAAGCGACATGCACATCATACATGTCTTGCAAGAGCCTCGTTCCTTTTTCGTCCGCACGATCACGCTCCAAAAAAATGAGGTGGGGGTGGATTTTGAACTGGAGTACCCCTCAGGACATGTTCCATCAACTCCACGTCGTTAAGTCGCGAGTATGTTATTCCTGCCGTTAATTGCGAGGGATTAACACCGCCACCTGGAAGACACCTCGCCGGGCACGGCAACATATCGCCCCTCCGCGGGGGGTGGGCAGGGCGGGGTCGGGCCGCCATTAATTTCGACGCGTCATCGGCACTCGTCATTCATCAATGCCAATTAGCCCGACGCCCGCACCTTGACTCTTTCCTCGGTCCTCTTTCCACAACGCTGCCGCGTTACGCCATACAAAACACGAGCGCTAAAAAAAAAGGGGTAAAAAACCGTTTCTTTTACATATAGAACAAGTGGTATTCGATTTCAAGAGCAATTTTTGGAGGCGCCACACAATACAGGAGCGCACAGAAAAGGATAAAAACTTTTCCTCCTGCATGAAGAACAAATGGTCTTCGATTTCAAGATCAATTTTTGGAGGCACTCTAAGTGTTAAAGGTTTGAAGAGGAGCATCCTCAACAAAAATGTTTTTTTTTTGTGTGTACATTGATAAGAGTCTATGGGTCAGGTGGATTAGCTTAAAATAATAAGATCCGTCTAGATAGCAACTCTCTTCCTTTAATATTAACGGATGAGATATCACGCTTTCAAAAATTATTTTTATGACGTCATCCTCCGCGGTGGTGACACCCTTGGTTTCTTCCACCTTGCTTTCATTTGTCTTAGAGATACTCATTTTCACTGGTTTCTCGACGTGAAACCCGGATGAAGGTAGGGTGGAAGAAACCAGAGGGTGTCATTCCCGCGGTGTAGGACGTCGTGAAGCGATGGTTCGGTCGACAATTTTTCAATTCGTTATTTTGTTATTATTTTATTCTATTATCTGAATCATCTTTAGTGCATTATGTTGTGTTGTACTTTCTGGTCTAATGACTCCACGATGCATTAAAGTGCGAAAAGCTTCGACAAAATAGATACGTCCTGAACTGTTATTCCTAAAACGACCTTTCAGGCTTCAAGAATCAAGTGTTAATAGAAGTTAATTATTATTAGAGTTGAGTATTATTTAATTGAGAATTATTATGAGTTTTAATGTTTTTCTCTCATTGAGAAATATCTCCATACCGCAGAAAATACACCATATACCAGAAAAAATAAACCGGCATCAATGTTCCCACCCGCTTACGCGACTCGTCGTTCGGGCCACCCTCAGATAGGATCGCGCGGCAAAGCGGCATACAGTGGATAGAGTCCATCGGAGAGGTCGGACATGAAATTTTTTACTAAAACTGCCAATTTTTATTTTTGTTTCGTCACATTTTAAAGTGCAAGGGGTGCTCCTGGAAGAAAATTTTACGAGGAGACCAATGAAACCACTTTTGGAACCTTAAAGTTTTGTGTAAACGGAGTTACAAGCCTTCAAAGTTTCCAAATTTTGTCCGACTTATTCTCTTGACCCGTTCTATTGTGCGGCGGGCGCCCTAATGGGAAACCAATCTTCAAAACGAGCGCAGGGGGTGAAAGGTGAAAGGCGGGGGAGCGCTAATTAAAATAAAGTTATTGAAAATACCGCACCCCTTGCCACTCGACAGGGGTGTAATCTCTGCCGGCGATCTTCGCTGTTTCGGTCCTCCGTTGATTTGCTGGTCAGTTCGTTGACCACGAAGAAACGCGACGCGATTAATTGTGAAATAAGTTTTTGGGGGTGGAATGAAGATATTCTTCCCGAAAAAAAACCAGTGTAAGGGTGGGGATGACCAATCAGCCCAACCTTTAAACCCATGAGAAACACAGCGCAATTATCGCAGCCTTTAATAACCATTATACACTACTTAAAACCATATAAAACTCAAATTCAAAATTTTTTAACCTATAAGAAATAAACATCCTTCTGGGATTGCTACAGACTTTAGAAAATGAAATCTCCTAAAATTTGTCTGTGTTGGGTGATGATGAATTTCAATATGGCGCCTTAAGAGTCGTTGTTCAATAATAAGCTCGTCATTTATGAGTTGTATACTTCATTTTTTGTGTTATCAAAGTGGTTTTCTAGCGCCTTGTCAAATTTTGGTAAAATTCCCTGACAAATGAGAATATACCAGATGGTTAAATAGATATGATTTGAAACAGTTTTCACTATGTTAGACCGCCCAGTGATTGTTTTACGTTTTGCCAATATCGAGTCGCCAAAATAAGCAATCAAAATAGCGGTTGTTACTGGTGATGATTTTTACGTGAGGATCCATGATTTTTTATTCAAGGCGGAGGCAATTATAAAAGCCGTAGACTTAACAAGTAAACTTTTTAAAGTTTCAAAAGAGCCCTTTCCGCCAGGATGTGCACTACCTTTCCCTTTTCTTGAAGAGTACATCTAAAAGACATATGAAAGTTTACACCTAAGATTTCCATCTATTGCCACCCTGGCCCGTGATGTAAATCTACGACTAAACAGATAATTTTAAATTTTAACTGCAGTCGATGTCCAACTGTCAATTTCAACCCGACTTCGACTGGATTCAATGTATCTTATCTTTTTCTTTGATGTAAATCTATAACTGAAAAAATAATTTTATATAAAGTAAACTTCTGTCGATGTCCGACTGTTAATTTCAACTTGCCTTAGACTGGATTCATTGTATTTTATATTTGGCTTTACTTTTACCTTCAGCCAAAGATGTGATATACACCTTCAGTTTTTATAGGATTTCAGTGTCCTTTTTTAATTACTTTCCTACTTATTTATTTATACATTTTCTATAATATTCAGTATTCTGTGCTTTGGTTACAAGGTGTTCCCGGCGTGACCTCACCCTCCCTGGCTACTTGACTCAGCATCGTCGATCTGGAAGTACACTTGAAATGACCATGTTTTCCCCTTTCCTTAATGATTACTCTGTAATTTATCTAGTATCTATTCTTTGTAAAGGCTTTACTGCGGACCCAAACTTTTAATTGATTCTTCATTTAGCCGAGGTCACAATAAATTTAAAAGAAAAAAAAAGTGACGACAAACTATGCCACCTAGTTGTGGAATTTAGAAATACATCGTCGGGAATCCAAAGGGTTGTGAAAACTAAAGTTACGTTGGGCGTAGTAGCAATATGTATAGCTACACTCGAGTGAGTAGATGGCTAGGCAAGGGCCGGATAGACGGACGAGTGATGGAGAGAGAGGGAGAAGGGTGGGCGGGGGGTAGCGGGGAGCTTGGAGCTTTATTAAGCCCAGTAAATCCTCATTAGAGACTCAGTCGCGCGCACACCTCAACCGAATTCCCATTGCCGCGACGCCGACGGTTCTTTCGCTTGCTCCTCTGACTCCTTCCGTTGATGCCTCTCGGGAGGAAAAAATGGGATTTTAATTGGTTTACTGTCACCTGATGTAGTAAGGAAGTGAGTAAATAAACATACCCAGTTCAAAAAAGGAAGATTGTTAGTTTCTTTCGCTCCTTGAAAAGACTTCCCTCCTTAAATTTCTTAAAAAATTCTGCCGAGAAAAAGCGTTCTACCACATAAATGTGTTTCTAGGTGATAGCTAAACACATAGATGTCTGAGTGAAGATTGTTTCTGAGGAATTTTTGTACATAACTGTTAAATACTCAAAAATTGAAAACTAACCTATTATTGTTGTAAATTTTATTGTACATGTGTTTAAATTAATTGTTTTGAGGACAACACCTGACACATACCATAAGCAGTTTCAACAGCTTTTGAAGGTACTTAATTGAAAAAATAAAATAAAAATAAAAAGGAAAAGGAGGAAGAAGAAAAAAGTCAAACGGGAGAAGGAAAAAAAAACAAATTCGAATGACACTGACAATGAGCGGAGTCTGGTTATAACACCCACTTTAAAGAAAAAAGGTTTGCACTTTGCAATTCGGAACAACCAAAATTTTTGGTTTAACTATAAAAACACCTATGTGCATATGGTGAAACTAATAGTATACGTCTGCAATAATAAACAAAAAAGTCTTTTGGATCCAGAGTACAAACTCACACAAAAAATTTGACAAGGACATGTACTCTAGGTTCCATCAAATTTTGGCTTGATTTAAAGTGAAATCCGCTGAAATTAAGAGGAATGGCTCTCGATTCAAGCAAAAATCCGATTGAATCAAGGATATTTTTTCTCGTCAAATTTTTAACAGTCTGGTCTCCGGAACCAAGATACTTTTTTTCAGTGTGTACTAAACTGCGGGCTGATTATTGAAATTGATAGACACAGCTATAGACAAAGAAGACACAAAGGATATGGAGGGATCCTATTAATGGCAGCAGGTGGTTGCATTAGACAATGGAGGTAGGTAATAGACTAATTAACGGCGACCCACGAGACACCCTATAGTTGGTCCATCATTTTTTCCCCTAGTCTATAATAACCACTCATTTTAACCAAAAGGATCGCTCCATACTCCCTATGTCTTCTTTGTCTATCGTTTCGTCTATTAATCCGACCATTAGCGCACTGGTACACGGAGAAAAAAACCTTGTGCGTGGGACCCGAAGTTTAGGTCATATGGATCTCTGAACTTTTCGAATTGAGTATCAGAACACTTTTGGTCTAGTTGCTGAGGTTCGGATCACACATCTGAAACTTCAGTTCTTACATCTGAAGTGCTTCAGTTCTTACATCTAAAGTGCTTCAGTTGTGAGAACCGAAGTTTTTCGGATGTGAGAACCGAAGTCATTCGGATGTGAAAGCCGAAGTACTTCAGATGTAAGAACTGAAGTTTCAGACGTGTGGTCCAATCCTCAGCAGCTGGACCTAAAGTGTTCAGATGCTCAATCCGAAAACTTCAGAGATCCGTATGACCTAAACTTCGGATCCCACGCACGAGGTTTTCTTCTCCGTGTAAGGTTTGTTGACGGTGAAGTTTCGACACCCAGAAATTACGACTTTTCTAAGACTTGAGCGCGCACCGTGGTACACGCTCAATGCATGAAGTATCCTGCAGACTTGTAAGGCGCTACTACATGCGTTGCACGCACCGTGCTGTACGCGCAATACATGAAGTATCCTGCGATCTTGTAAGGCGCTCCCATGCGGCTACTAAACTTGCAGCATCAGCGGTTTTCAACTTATGATTTTAAAGTTTTTATAAAGTTTGTTAGTCATTTTTCCCCCTGGTCTATAATAACCACTCATTTAAACCAAAAGGATCCCTCCATACTTCCTATGTCTTATTTGTCCACCGCTTTGTCCATCAGCATCAACAATCAGCCCGCTGAGCCGGAAATTGCGAAATGCCACTGAAAAAACAAATATCTGTGTATTTACTAAGAAAAGGGTGAAATTACCAAGAATTCAGGGTTCTATTTGATCCCAGTTTTTTCTTGGTAAAATTATCATTTATGGAATTGGTAATTTTACCGAGAAATCTCGGTAAAATTATTGACTTTCTCGGTAATTTAGCTGGACCCCGGTAAAAACGCCAATATTTTTTATCGACTGTGGTATAGAATTACCGAGATAAAGTGGCAAAGTTACCGGGAATTGATTACCAATAAAAGTGATATTCTTACCTGAAAAAAAAAAACAGTAAAAATACCTTAGTTTTTAGGTAAGTTTTTAAGTAAGCTTACCGGTCTGTCTTGGTAAAATTACCAATGATTGGTAAAAAAGTGAGATGGTAAAGGTACCAACGGACCTTGGTAAAAACGCGGAGAATTTTTTGTCGGTGGCAGTCCAAAAACCCGGTTTGCCAACGCTGCGACGCGTTACGGAGCGCAATCGTTCGAAAAAACGGGGGCTCACCGTAAGGCGGAAGGGGGGCACAGAACTTACACGCGGTGGCTTGCGGTAAGATGGGGGAGGGGGGGCGGTTGCACCAAAGGAGCGATTTCCCGCTCGTTGGCGGTAATGGAGGAGTTATATGTTTCAATTTGAAGCTCGAATGAAATAATGCCCGATTTAGCTCCGCGCGCGCGGTTATATTTAAATCGCGAGGAAAAAATGTCCCCGCATCACGAGCGCCGACCCGCTCCGCGCGCTCTCACCTCTGACGGGGGTGTCGAGATTCGGTTTGACAGCCCCCGGGGTTGCCGCAAAAGTTCAGCAACAACGTCATCGACGTCGCGTTTCATACGATGGATTTGGATGGATGGATTTCACGCTTAAAAAATTGATTTCTCGCGTAAATCTAACGGTTGTATTCAAAGGAACATTCTCATGACGTTCTTTAAACACGTCAACGTCTTTACTTAGGAGTATAGTACCTTTATAAGGAGATTGGAGATTCAGAAGTCGAGATTCAGTTTGACAGCCCCCGGGGTTGCCGCAAAAGTTCAGCAACAACGTCATCGACGTCGCGTTTCATGCGATGGATTTGGATGGATGGACTTCACACCTTGATGGATTTCACGCCTAAAAAAAATGGATTCCACGCCTAAATCTAACGGTTGTTTTTGAAGGAACGTTCTCATGACGTTCTTTAAACAACGTCTTTACTTAGGAGTAGAGTACCTTTATAGAGAGAATGGAAAACTGACGGGGGTGTCGAGATTCAGTTTGATAGCCCCCGGGGTTGCCGCAAAAGTTCAGCAACAACGTCATCGACGTCGCATTTCATGCGATGGATTTGGATGGATGGACTTCACACCTTGATGGATTTCACGCCTAAAAAAATGGATTCCACGCCTAAATCTAACGGTTGTTTTTGAAGGAACGTTCTCATGACGCTCTTTAAACAACGTCTTTACTTAGGAGTAGAGTACCTTTATAGGGAGAATGGAAAACTGACGGGGGTGCCGAGATTCAGTTTGACAGCCCCCGGGGTTGCCGCAAAAGTTCAGCAACAACGTCATCGACGCACGATGGATCGAGTCAATGCTATAGATTGGACATAAATTGGAAACTTTAAAAGCTCATAACTCCGTTTTCACAAAACTTTGAGAGTTCAAAAGTGGTTTCATTGGTTTCCTCGTGAAATTTTTTTCTAGCGGCACCCTTTAAAATTTGAAATGTGACGAAATAAACATCAAAATTTTCAGTCTTAGTCAAATTTTCCATGTTCAACCCCTCTAATTGACTCGGTCCGCTGTGCGATGTCGCATTTCATGCGATGGATTTCACACCTTAATGGGTTTCACGCCTAAATCTAACGCTTGTATTTAAAGGAACGTTTTCATGATGTTCTCCAAACAGATTCTTTACTTAGGAAGCCCCAGATATACTTAAAATTGTGACTAAGCAGGAATTTTGAAGGAGATTCCTGATCTAGTATCGCTTTAAAAGAAATTTTTTTTCAAATCTCGAGTAAACGGCAGTGGTGAAACTCTGGGATCCCTACAAGGGATTAGAATGATTTACCATGCAAAAGTACAAAATACAGAAGAAGAAATAGCACGATTTTGACAAACTTTAAGGTAGACGCGAACCTTCATGACATTATTTAAACAGCTTCTTTCCTTGGGAGGCCCTCTAGATTTGGTTGGCATTGTGATTAAGCAGGAAGGTTGAGGGAGATCAGTGATCTAGTATCGCTTTAAAAGGACAATTTTTTTTCAAACTTCGAGTGAACGTCAGTGGTGAAACTCCGGAAATGGAGCCTTACACGGGATTACAATGATTTGCCACTGCGAAAAGTACAAAACAAAAACGTAAAAATTCTTTGATTTTGATAAATTTTAAGGTAGATACGAACCTGCTTTGATTTTAAAAAGCGTGCACTATATTTTCTTCTTTATTTTTAACTTTCTGTAGAGAAGAAGTCGTTTCCCGGACGAAGGCACGTATCTCCATTTCAAGGTCATACAATTGATCAAAAAAAAACAAAAACAACAATTTAAAAGAATGTAGGTACCTGTTTTATTTTTGTCCAAAACCTTCCTGATTTTCGCATGGAATCAGAGGAAGCATCAGTGAAGTTATCAGTTAGAAATGCTCAAGATTCTCCCGATAAAAATGAAGGTTTCAAAGGGAAATGTGGCAACATTTAAACGTACTTACGTTCTTTCGTGAGGGAAACGACGCATTCTAGCTTTCCCGGGATCACAAATTCACCCACAGGGCAACATCCGGTAGGGTACGAGAGATTCAACCCCTCTGCGTGGGAGTAGGTAAATGAGAAGTCCCAATTTTTCCGCAACACTGCTTTATCGTCTGTTCTTAAGGTAATGGATTCTGGTTGCGTGGGCGAGCTATGAACCGAGAGGCAAAACTCGAGAGAAAGATTTCGGTCAAAGCGTAAGTTGCAGCACATATCGCATCGGCGAGCTGTTTTTGATGGTTCACGAAACGACGTTGTTAAACTTGAGGATTGTGAGCAATTGCACGATACTTTGCATTCGGGGAGTTATTCAAACGGAAGCTCCGGTAATAGGCCTGAATTGGCTTTTCACTGCTTTCACGGAATAGAGAAATTGCTCCAGCTGCGTTTAGGGTTAACATTACCATGTTCTCTTTGTATGATCGTGGAGCCGTTTTTGGAATGGCTACCAGTGGCATGGCGTGAATTGCGATATATCGATTGTTATGCCATTTAAACCTATGGTAAAGAATCGATTATTAAGGAGTTCCCTGCGAACACCCTGTTAATCGATCCTTTTCTATAGGTTTAAATGGCATAACAATCGATAAATCGCAATTCACGCCACGCCACTAATGGCTACAGTGGCAAGGCGAGTGAATGATCGATCATCGATATTTCCCCATTTGAAGTTGTAGTAAAGAATCGATTATCAAGGTGTATGTTGCGAAAACTCAAGTGTCATAACTACGTGGAAAGCATCGCATAAATACTCTTTCCTTATGGAGTGAAGGTTAGTCAGTTCAGTTTCAGTTTCCCTTCAGTTTACGAGTTAGGCAACATGATCTCCCACGTGGTCGAATAATGGTATCTCTTTCACGTGTCATGACTACATAGAAAATTGATCGATTGATGAGATGTATCAAGTCTTTTTCAACATCTTGACCAACGAATTAAAAGTAATGTGCAGGGAAAGTTCCGTCAAAATATTCCTTAACCAGTTGAAAAAAAAACGAAAAAATAAAGCTTATTATAATCTAAAGGATTTTTTTGAAGAACCTGTATAATTTCATTTTGCTTAGATTGTTGTAATTGTTGTATAAATTGTAAATTAGACTTCTGCCACAGCTTTTTACTATGGGCTGTATGCATCAATAAATTCTATCTATCTAGTCTCTTGAGTTGGGAATAACAGTAAAATACGTATGAGAGGTAGTGACGGTTTGATAAAGTATATTCGACCCAAATTAATTTCTGAATCCCCTCAAGAAATCACGGCGAATTAATGTATCGATGAGAAAGATCAAGTATCTTGAAAGTATTGCTTGAGTGTAACCGTAAAATACGTATAAAAAGTGGCAATTATGTTTCATTAAAATATATTGAACTTAAGATGATTTCTTAAATGCCTCTCTTCCCTCAAGAAATCAGGGGAATAAAGAATTTGCAGGTGTCAGAAATTTGATGAATTTTGAACTGAACACGAGGATACCCTTGGTTCATGAATTGAATTATTACAATACTGTGTTTTGGCTAAATAAGTTTGAAATTGTTACCCAAAATGACACTGATAAACGCAAATGCATTTAAATAATCGAACAATCATAGAAGAAGATATGACAAAATGATCTAATCTGCTAAAATACGGGTATTTAAATGGGAAATACCGCTAGGTGACGTCACTAGGTGGTGAATTTTCTCACTTGGACGTGTTTATGCTAAAAGGAACTACGCGTGCAAGTGGAAAAAAGGGATTTGCTCGTGGGAGCTGGATAAGAAACAATGTGGTTAGTGGATATAGTTTCTTTTGAGAAAATGGAAAAGCGAGATTTTCAATTAAATCAAAATGAACTGAGCGCTAACTCGTGAGCCGTGGGCATGTGACAAGATCCTTGTGGACAGGGCTCATGAGTTAAAGATCCCCGATCGTCCTCCTCAGTCTCGGTCGTCATCGCTGACGTCACTGGCGCTTTTAAAGTCCCGCATTCATTTTTATGGCCTTCAACTAACGAGCACACCCCATCTTTCCACTCGCACATAGTTCCATTTCACATAAATACGTCCACTTATAAATCTATTAAGCGCTCAGCCGATAGGCAGCGCTTTTTGATTTCGACTTGCCTCTAGAATACTAGTATACTAGTGCTAATTCGTTTAAATGACGCACCACCAGCTCATCGATGTGTAGGCTTTTTTTTTGGGGGGGGGGGGTCCAGTTTTAAAATAAATAAATCTGTGATAACCGTATTTTATGCTTTTAACGTAATACGCGGGTAGTTAAGATCGTTTGTCTATAAGAAATTTCCTTAGCGGTAGAGTGATTCTTATCGAAATTGATCGTTGACCTCAAATGAAGCCTAAAAAAAACGCGCCTGATGAGCTCAACGGTGAGCTCATTTTCGGGAAACAAAAATACGCGTTTACGGTTTCAATGGTAACCTTTTTTTGCTATCAGCTAATGTTTTATTTCCATTTCCCAGCCAAGTCGACGGAGTTTATACTTCCTTTCTTCACTAAATGCATTTACTAACAGCTGAGCGCTTTTCTAATACGACAGTATTAGAACTTTCCCGCTTGTTTTTATACTATTTCCCGTGTCAGGAAAAAATTATGAAAAATACTGTGAAACCAGCACTCTAAGCACCGTCAGATAAAGCAATGAAACATTTGCATGAAAATTATTCATTCTTCAAAGAGGCATTACCAAACGGATTTTCCACGACGTAACGAATCGTGCGTGCGAGTTTCTGCTCGTCCGTCATCATTTTGTCGGCCTCCTGTGCAGGGTGGAAGAAGTGACTTTCATCCCCGTGTCCGCGACCCGGCAGAAACAAAAGCTGTGTCAACTGCAGAGCTGAAAAAAGAGGAAAGCAGCGGTTAATTACAGTGTCCCGGTGGCTGCACCAAGCCTCCCTTGTTTTCGCGACTGTTTAATTACGACGCTGTAAAGTCGTCAGAAATGAGACACCACGGCTCTAAACGTAAGGGCAGAAGGAATCGGCTCTATGTGTAGTCAACATAATTTTTTTTTTTTTTTCTTTTTTTTTCCCCCCACCTACGAGTGGTATATAGATCGAGGGCTGATAATCAGATCGACTAGATTATCGAATGATAAGACAAAATGGAAATTTCTCCCTCTTGAATTGAGCCTGTGAATACTTTGCTCGACACGACACATCGACATTGCATAAGTCGGTTTTTCTGGTTAGGATTTACGGGTTACGACCACCTTAGAGACCCTTTAAACCCAGAGTTAAGACGACTCAATTCTGGTTGATCATGGTGTCACAAAAGTGTGCACCCAAACGAACAATATTAAGGGATAAGGATAAGGAATCCCGCTAAGTCTGTCATCCAAAAACAACAACATCAGCGAGACTGATCAAAACCCATCCAAAGATATTGCATTGAAATAAAATGAGATTGATTTGTGAATGATTTCTCAATCTGTTTTCATTTTGGTGCGATAAAAATAACCATGTACGCTTTGATCAATCACAACTCGACGGTGTAAGTCGGCAATCGCATAGCTCGGTTTGCGACGTCGCAGACTTCCTGTCATAATTCATGTTTTAAACGGAAAACTTCTAAACGGCAATTCTTTAAAACTGCCGTGATTTGTTTACTCTGTGCGAAGAAAATTCTGCAAAAACTTCCGGAGATGATGTCAATTTGTTCTCCCTGAAAAAAACATCATATAGAGGGTGATTTTCAGATACTGCAAACGAGATGTGTGATTGCGGACCTACGCCGTCGATATATTCTTAAATTACAGGATATACAGCGCTGCGAAGTGGGATATGGCTTTCTCCTGATGAGTAGCAAGTTGGCCATCGGAGCAAATTGTAATTCAGCTGTGAAAACTAGTGTCCGCAAGGGAAGACCATCTGAGTCACAGCGAGGGCCAGTGTTTCTGATAGAATGGCAGACTCTTTTCCATACCTAGCTACTCTCACTCAAATCTACCGCATCATTTACATGATGTTCGTTTAAGTATTGCCTTATCGAGAGCTTTATAATTCTCATGGCACTCATATCAGTCTATTGATGTCAGGCATGATTGGAGCTACACACTTAGGACAGGAGTGAATGATGGAACCGATTACACACATTCAATGGTTCATGAGTGTCAAATTATCTAATTAAAACTTAGATAGGAGGCGAAACAAATGTCATATTGCAGCAAGACACAAGGGGAGGCTAGCCTGAGTCACATGCTCATTAGAGCTTCACAGTTCTGTAAAACACAGCCGTAAAAACATTCGAGAGTTGCAAAATTTCCTTCGATAAAATGTTTAGTTTTAAGGAAAGTTATGAATATTTTTCCTTAAAATTTTTTGGAGCTTTAGGTGGAATTACGAACCAAATTAACTGAAAAATTGGAAATAAAATATCCACAAGTTTACAAGGAAATTCGGATTTTATCAAAGTAAATTTGGCAACGCCTGAAGGTTCATACGGCGTTTTTCCTTGGCACGGCTGAGTAGGAAATATCAAAAATCATTAATAAAACAGGATCTTAAGTTTGAAAGGCCTTATTAGGGTACATGGCCTTCTTTGGAGCACCTACCTTAATTCTTTACCCGTGCGTGGAAGGCTTTTCAACACGGAAAAAGTTCAATTAGGCGATGCGAGAGCGTCCGCTGTTTTTCTCTGTCGGTATTTAATTTCCCACTTTTTCCTCCGACTTTGAAAATCACTCGGGTTTACGCCCTTGGGGCACGGTGCACGAGCTCTCACACACCCTCCGAGGTCACACCCCCGATGTTTCACACACGCCCAAGGGCCGCTTTTTAATTACAAAGCTGTCCGTGACTCAAGCTCCCTACATTTTCCCTCCATCGCGCACTGAAAAAAAATTCTTGGCGTTTTTACCGAGGTCCGTTGGTACCTTTGCCATCTCATTTTTTTACCAATTAATGGTAATTTTACCAAGACAGACTGGTAAGCTTACCTAAAAACCGGTATTTTTACTGTTTTTTCAGGTAAGAATACCACTTTTATTGGTAACCAATTCCCGGTAACTTTGCCATTTTATCTCGGTAATTCTACCACAGTCGATAAAAAATATTGGCGTTTTTACCAAGGTCCAGTAAAATTACCGAGAAAGTTCAATAATTTTACCTAGCTTTCTCGGTAAAATTACCAATTTTATAAATGGTAATTTTACCAAGAAAAATGTGGGATCAAATAGAACCCTGAATTCTTGGTAATTTTACCCTTCTCTTAGTAAATACACCGAGTTTTTTTTTTCAGTGCGGTCGAGATTAGTCGAAATCTGTTTAAATGATCACGACACGGTCCCTCCTTCTTGCTCGGCAGGTTTACAGGTGAATCTACAATAATATTTGGACTATTTCTATAAAACGGAACTGAGGGTCATCGGGGGAGGAAGGGAGAGGGGGGTTCGGATTGGCGGATGTTGCGAACCGCGATGCTCGTTCCGTCCTATACACGCAATGGTTTTCCATGACGCTTAGTGCCAATTGATGGAACGCGCTATCTGGGATTCTAAAATCCTCAAAAGGCACACTGGAAAAAAAAACACATTGGAACTAGAGTCCAGACTCTTAAAAACATCGGCAAGAAAAAGTACTCTTGATTCAGTCAGAATCTAGCATAAATCAAGAACCAAGCCTCCTAATTTAAGCGGATTTCGTTTTGATTCAAGAAAAAATCCGATTGAATCAAGAGTATTTTCTCTTGTCAATGTTTTCAAGAGTCTGGACTCTCGATCCAATGTGTTTTTTTTTCCAGTGAACTCAATTTGGCGCTTGGTTATCCGTTCAACAGAAATACGTCCATTTTTGACGTTGGACTACGTAGTTTTCACCTGCAGTGTGAGCGCCATGCGTCCACTTCCTATTTTTTCCGAATGTAAAGGTTTGAACTTTCTCTCTTTAAGTAATGGGTCAGTTGCGCTCACTGGAAAAAACACATTGGATCTAGAGTCCAGACTCTTAAAAACATTGACAAGAAAAAATACTCCTGATTCAATCGGATTTTTGCTTGAATCAAAACGAAATCCGCTTAAATTAAGAGGCTTGGTTCTTGAATTAAGCTAGATTCTGATTGAATTAAGCTAGATTCTGATTGAATCAAGAGTACTTTTTCTTGTCGATGCTTTTAAGAGTCTGGACTCTAGATCTAATGTCTTTTTTATCCAGTGCTGGTCACAGAATCGTGATTTGATGCTTAACTCTTGTACTGCCGCGCTAAGGAAGAACGCCGTATGAATATTCGAGAGTTGCCAAAATTTCCTTCGATAAAATGTTCATCTTTCGGGAAAGTTATGAATATTATCTCTCGAAAATTTCAGGACTTTTCGGTGGAATTGCGAGCAGAATTATCTGAAAAATTGGAAAAAAATATTCTTAATTTTATCCGGAAATTCATTTTGTATCAAAGGAAATTTGACAACGCTTGAGAGCTCATACGGCGTCCTTCCTCGGCACGGTAGTGTAGATAAGCTAAAAAGGATGAGATCCATCCAAACCGCAACTATCCACGTTCAATATTAACCGAGATATCGCCCTTCGAAAAGTCGGGTTTTAAAAGCGTCATCTACCGCCACCCTTGGTTTCTTCTATACCTTGCTTTCATCAATCGGGGAAACACACATTTGCACCAGTTACTCACCGTGAAACTCGGATGAAAGTTGGGTGGAAGAAACCAAGGGTGTCACAACCACGGTGGTGGATGACGTCAAAAACCGGACTTTTCAAATGCCGCTGTCTCGATTAGTATTCAAGATAGAAATAAGTTGCTGTTCAGACAGATGTACTTATTTTCAGCTAACCTACGAGACTCAAACATCAAAACACGATTCTGTTACCAGCGAAACTGGCCCATTCAGAGGTCATTCCTTTTATTGACCATTTTAAGATACCAGAGAATGATGACGACATAACGATAACGATTAGCATCATGCACTATGGTTATTACGAGCAGACGTCACAATCAACTCCTGGAGATCTTTAATGAAACAGTTGGAGGGAGATCGTCTGGAATATTTTTGAAAGAGCTAATTATACCCGAATTAGATACTTAAAGCTCCACAGCGGAGATATGTAATAATACAACAAAGGAGAAACAAATCTGTCGAGTGCATTTTGGCACAAACACATACGTTGTTCCATTGAAAATCCAACGATGGAAAAGATTATTTTTTGTTTAAAACACCCTTTACAATGGAGATGTTGCATGTGTGAGGAATTTGCGATTTCACTGTTGATTTTTACGTAAAAGTTCGCGAGAAACACGATGTTGCCACTGGTTTTCTCTAAAATCAACTCCCAAGCTCAAAAAAAGCTCTCAAGTTGAGGCCAAAATGGAGGTGATATCCCACCCTACCCCGAGAGTCCACCTCTACATCAAAACGAACTCTCCATGCAAAGATAGGGAGCAAATACATTGACGGGGCTGCCACTTTCTTTGGGGACTCAAACATTGAAAACACGGTATCACTGCTAATGTACTTGCTCCCTATCTTTGCATGGAGAGTTCGTTTTGATGTAGAGGTGGACTCTCAAGATAGCGTGGGATATCCCCTCCATTTTGGCCTCAACTTGAGAGCTTTTTTTGAGCTTGGGGAGTTGATTTCAGAAAAAAACCAGTGGCACCCATCGTGTTTCTTGCTAAATTTTACATGAGAATCAACGGTCAAATCGCAAATTCCTTCCACCTGCAACATCTCCATTATGCCTTATTCGATAGGGAGTTCCAATCACAGAAATAGGAAACAAATCTGACTTTAGCTTAGACACTTAGCAGCCTAAACTTCCATAAAAATTGAGTAGTGCCTAATTTTTAGGATACGGTGAAGAGAGTCACACTTCATCTTCCCGAATGAATACGAAATTTAATTCTTACTAATTTCTTCGACAATTTTCTGAGTCTTTTTGAACACTTGAAAGGCTACATGATGAAGATTTATGACTTGAGCCGTTATCAGCTCAGCAACGAATGAGATGATGATCGCGATACGCATCTGTTCCCGAGTTGTATTTAAGTCATCGCCTCTGTCAGGTCCATCCCATCATGAATAGTTTATGAATGTCATGAAGCAGGAAATTGAAAGTCGTGAAAGCCCTCTAAAATTTTCAAAAGTCTTGAGAAAAGTTTCGAGCCCCTGTGAAAAATTTTCAGTGCAAATCATTTTTCGGTACACAAGTGTTGGCCAATCGTGGGAACATCAACTTGCTTCGACGATTAGAATGTCTCTTTGAGCTGCTAGAAATTTTGTTGGTTCTCATCATTTCACCATCGCGAATTGTACGTATATTCCCATTCGGTTTAAGTCGGATCATAAAAAATCCGCCATAATTTTTCACTTTGCATACCTGTCACAAGTACTTGAACTTACCTACAATTTGCTCGCAGTGAAATTTTAAATCGTTTTTGGGACACAATTTTAGCACATAGGAATTGAATTTCGTTGTAAAAATGACAAACACACGTTATTAAAGCAGAAAAAGAGAAATATTATTCGTTCCCACAGTGGCCCCCTCTTTTAAAGATTCCAATATGTCGGATAGCCATTCGAATCACCACTCACCAACCAACTCTCACGAGACGGAGTTCCGAACGCATTCGTGGTACCTGAGATTCTACGAAACTAGCCTCCACCTCGCGAAGATCCCTGAGGAAGATCGCCCTTCCGCGTGGGGCCTGGTTATAGTCCAGGCAAATAAGCCATGGAAGGGGCTATAGCCTGCAAAAATCCCGGGTAGCAATGTTTTCATCGATTCCTATGTAATTTTTGACGCTGAATCCGAATTTCAACTTTGCGCCATTAAATTCGGACCGGAAAGTTGCCAAATTTGGCAAAAATGGCCTAAAATGGGCCTTTTTTCCGGATTATGGCCTGTAACTTGCCAAAAATTGATCTGACGATAAAATTAGTTATTTTCAGAAATGAAGCTCGTTAAATTTCCTACAAATCAGTTCCTATACCTTTTTTTGCTCAGGGCAAAATTAATTAATTTTGCGCGCGCTAGCGGGCTCCGAACTTTGTAAAATGTGCGAAAATTGCGCATTCTGTAATGTGTTGGGTTATCCTTATTATTTACATCAATTCATTTCACTAAGTGTAAATTTTATCATCTGCACTTAATTTGTCCAGAAATTACTCGTCGGACGATTAAAACAGGAGACATCGGGCAAAAACCGCGAAAAACACAATTTTCGCTCATTTTTTAAAGTTCGGAGCCCGCCAGCGCGCTTAATTTTGCCCTGAGCAAAAAAGTGTATAGGAACTGATTTGTAGGAAATTTAACGAGCTGTATTTCTGAAAATAACTAATTTTATCGTCAGATCAATTTTTGGCAAGTTACAGGCCATAATCCGGAAAATAGGCCGATTTTAGGCCATTTTTGCCAAATTTGGCAACTTTCCGGTCCGAATTTAATGGCGCAAAGTTGAAATTCGGATTCAGCGTCAAAAATTAGATGGGAATCGATGAAAACATTGCTACCCGGGATTTTTGCAAAAACCGCAAAAAAACGCGATTTTCGTTCATTTTTCGAAGTTCGGTGCCCGTCAGCGCGCTTAGTTTTGCCTTGAGCAAAAAAGTGTATAGAAACTTTTTTATGGGAACTTTAACGAACTTTTTTTTAAAACAACCAAATTGTCGTCAGATCAATTTTGGACGAGTCACAGGCCTTAACCCGCAAAAAACCAAATTTTCGCTCATTTTTCAAAGTTTGGAGCCCGCCAGCGCGCTTGATTTTGTCCTGAGCAAAAAAGTGTATAGGAACTGATTTGTAGGAAATTTAACGAGCTGTATTTCTGAAAATAACTAATTTTATCGTCAGATCAATTTTTGGCAAGTTACAGGCCATAATCCGGAAAATAGGCCGATTTTAGGCCATTTTTGCCAAATTTGGCAACTTTCCGGTCCGAATTTAATGGCGCAAAGTTGAAATTCGGATTCAGCGTCAAAAATTACATAGGAATCGATGAAAACATTGCTACCCGGGATTTTTGCAGGCTCTTTTCCTTGTTTGCCTGGACTATTAAAAGGTACGGCAATTAAGACGCAGAATGCCGCCGCGGAATCGTACGCGGCGGACGATCCGAGCGAGCGAGGCGTCGAGTAAATTTCCGCTCCGCCGTGCCCGGCAAAACTAAGCAGCGGAATCGCCTCCAAAATTCCGCCGCGTCCGTCGGGAGTTTCGTCTCAGTATCCGACGGGAGCTAGTGCAGGTGCTTTGTGACAGTGTGCTATGCTACAATGAACGGAAATCGATTACTTTTGGTGAGCCTCTTGCTCGAGGAGATAGAGCAAGAGGAATTAGTTCAATTTTCATACATACAGAACTTATTTGGAAAGCGGCCTGAGAAAGAGTTGTTCAGGAGGCGAAGACGGGAAGGAGCTTTCACCACTTTAATCAAGCGGCACCTCATGGACAATGACACACTCTTCAAAGAGTTTTTTAGATTGACCCGGGAGGAATTTGAAGAAGTCTTTAAAACAGTAGGACCATCGTTAGAACGCCCAGGCAATAACAGGCGCGTGCTGCCAATAACAGGGAGGGAAAAGCTGTGTATTACACAGAGGTAAGTAAAGAAAATTGCACTTATTGAATTCAGATGTTTAAATTCTAAATACAGATAAATGTCTAGTACAAGTCAGCAATAATGTAATCATCCGCATCATTGTGGCGTTGGTTTGGAGGAGTGATGGACGCACTTGAGGTGTACGGCGATCGTAGATGTGAATTGAAGACCGGCTGTTCCTGCAGTGCTTGATACTCGAGGTTAAAGACAATATCAGAAACGCATCTTTTTGCTTCGAGCTGCAAGCGGGGAGGTAAATTCTTCACTGAGGCGCTGATTCCTTCAAAAAATTTATCTATAGGATGGGTGCCTGTTGATGGCTCAGGTTTATTACACAAATTTTTCATTGTGTCAAGCCGCTCTTTCGACTGTTTTTGAAATTCAGCGATCGCTCGGTCACGGGGTGCTAATAGTCCGGTAAAGAAGCTGATGGACCCGGAACAAATTGCAACAAAAGGTTTCTATACATCGATGGACGCAGAAAAATCAGCTGAATCTGAATTCGTCCAGCTCACCGCGCTAAGTCGTGTTCTTAAACCCAAAAATCCCTAAAAACCCCCCAAAAATTGAAAAATTTTAAACTTCCTGTAAAAACTTTAAAATTGCACCAAAATGGCATATGGATACATCAATGAATGCAGAAGAAGCCGCAGAATCCAAATTTAAGTGACTCACAGCGCGTGGCTTAAAATTTCACCCCCAAAACCCCCCAAAATAGCCCCAAAGTTAAGAATGCTTTTAAAATTTTTTGAAATTATTGCTCTCGAGCTTCATTGGCTGGATTTATTGCAGTGAGCTATCAAAAATATAAAACTAGATAAAATTTTACGTAAAATAGATGTATCACATGAGAACCTCATTGCGGGACATCCACGGAGTGTGACGCGAAACATGGAAACTAGCCGGCATTTGTTACGCGGCCCGCAACCTCCTCAGGTGATCGTGAGTGGCGCGGCATCTTTTCAAGACTGCTCTTGTGAGTCAAAAGGCCAGACCCCTCTAAAATTAGTCTCGCAGAATGTCACGAATTAAATTATGAAATTTTATTATTTATTCGAAACTTCATAGCAAGTTCATGACGTAGTAAATTGGAATACGTAATTTTTTTTAATTCCAATGTTGATTCCTGAAATTTAAGACTACGAAGAATCTCGTTTTCTTTAAGAAAGCTATAAATTAATGCGGATAATAATCGAGAAACTTAATAATTTCACTTACTTGAGAGTACCGAGACAACCTCAAATCTCATCAAAAAGTGCCATCCTCATAATCACTGAAGTCGCCAACTTCTTCGTCCTCATCTTCTGGGGTAGGCTCTTCGGGAGTGAAATCCTCATCCATCAGGGTCGGCTCCATTTCGGATTTGCTGTTTGAGCACGTCGATCCTTGGCAGTTTTTGCAGGCAAAGGAGCAGCTTATTCCATGCTTCTTGCATGTGCACCTCTGAGAATTGCATCCGTTTTCTGCGCAGCTACATCGGATGATCGAGAGAAGTGAATCTGGGGCAGGTGGTTTCTCCATCAAAATTGGAATGAGACCTGAAGTTCCTTTCCTCCACCCCCAACTTTCAGGTTGGAGCTCATGTCCCATCCATGTCATTATTTGAAGGAATACACGGTGAAAGTGAAATCTAGCTGCGTCAGATGTGGGTGGGAGTACCTCTGGTTTCACATGTTGAGTACTTGAGACAAGTTTTGGCGAGAATAATCTAAAACGTAAAGAATCCAGCTTTTCGGTCGATTTTCCTCCGTATAAACGTACAAGTAAGCGCTCACCAGCAAGTTCCAAAGCTTCTTTTGAACTTGACTGATTACAGGATATAGCTGCATCTATTAAGGCATCATGATTATCCATTAGCATAGATATCATTTTTCCTTTATTTATCCCGTAGATATGAGAAGTAGTGTCACAACCTAGGAATGCGTGACTCAGTAAGATGTTTTTACAAAATTCATCACTCAAGTGACTTTTAATGTATTTAATATCTATTATTTGCGATGATTTGCGCAAAGCAGCCGATAAATTATCATCGCAAATATATAAATCTTTGTGAGATGACACATTAAAGTAATGGAGGGAGATGGCCAAAAGATCTATGTCTTTTCCAATAATGGCTGTGGGTATTTCTTTGGCTTGCTGGAGTGCCTCAAGAACAATGTATAAGTCAGCGTCATCTGGAGCATGGATGGTAATACAGCCAATTTGCATAAGATGTTTTGCTAAGGCAACCACAAATTTTTGCTTATTTTTTTCATTGGATAAGAAAAGATTTTTGGACAAAGTCAGAGGCATATCATGCGTAAAATCGATTGTGGGTGCAACTCTTCCTTTACTCCTCTTTACATGAGTCAAATCTTTGGTTGTATGTACATTTGAATAACCATCAAAAACAATTGTTGCTTTACCAAAGTGCTTAATTACGTAAGAAGAATATTGATTCATTACTTCTGTATAAGTACCCTGCCGAGGCCATGGCATTAAATGTAGTAGGTGACCACCATCAATTACGTAGGAAACTCTAGAATCAGGTGCTGAAGCAGGATTTGATTTTGACGGAATCAACTGTAAAAGTCGCTTTGAGAAGTCACTTATTTTCGGCGAGCGTAGAAAGCCGGAAGTGTCACACAGTGCCAACGGAAATGTGCATAATTCGTATTTGAAGTACTCAGGCAAATTTTGCGGTGCAATACTAAGAATACAAAGAAGTCTTTGAAATAACAAATATGGATCGACCCGAACAAACTCGCCGTCGACATTTAAATGTTTTTGCTCCTTCATATTTTTGACAGTATGAATTTTTTTGAAACAAAAATCCGCGACTGTTTGATTGTCCATGGAACGCAAAATCTGTTCACCAATTTCTTTTGCTTTATTGGCATTCACGCTCGTACTTGCTATCCTTCCTGTGGCTAGATTTTTTAAAGTCGCACTTGGCTGAAATGGCGCTAAATGCTGCATCAATCTAATTAACTTTCTGACGTCATTTAAGTCTCTGTTTCGACGCGCTAGAGTGCAGTCTTTGTGTGTCTTTGAATCATTTATATCCAACCGTAAGAGGGAAATCATTGCAGCATTGACATCAGCGCAAGCAGGCATTCCTAGAAGCCAAGTCAATCGTCTAGCTTCAGAAAAACCAGCTCCACGTGTTAGTCCTCCTAAATTTTTGATATTTTTCATCAAGATTTGCTCGATAAGGAGATCTGTAGACAAGCCGCTCCAAAATCGATCGGATCTCCGCCCTACATGGAAACCGCTCATAAATTTATTATGTATAGATTTATGGCTTTGTTTAAGTTCATGCATGACTTGCAGGTATAGTCTAATAGATTTGCAGTACAGAAAATGACCTGCAGCTGCAAAATATGGAAGCATTAAACGTAAAGTGTGCAAGTGTAAAGTCCAATCACCGGTCCTTTCGGCGCGTAAGAAAGTTCTGAGAAGGTCCATCATGTCCATAAATTGGCACCACAACTAAGCATTTTGGGACGAATTAATAACTGATTCCTTGACATTTTTCAGCATGTTCACAATGTCAGGCCAAACATCTGAGTTGCAAATCTCTTCTGCTGACAGTGATTTTTCACTGAGCCCGGTCAATAATATTGTCACATCTTGCAGGGTCTGATTATCCAGATCCAAGACAAATTCATCGTCATTTAGGTCACTTTTGGACGGAGATCCAGAGGCCTCTCTAATTAGAAAGTAATTCAAGGCAGCGTCCAGTAGCATAAAAGCTCGGATAGCACGAGAGACACTATGGCCGTTCAAAATTTTGGTGACGGTGTTGCTACCGTAAATTTCTGAAAGTATTTCACTGATTCCAGATGACTCCATGAAGTAACCAATACAACCGAGGTAACTCATAATCGTATGAAAGCCACCGAGTCGCAAAACAATATTTATTAGTGGACTGTCAATCAGCTCATTTTCAATTATGGTTTTAGCTTTCCAGTAAAGTGGCTGATCGAAAGTCAACACAGGATCGACTTTAAATTTTCTTGACTCTGCCTCGATAAAAAGAAGCGTCGTGTAAACACATGAGAAATCGCTAGGATTTGAATCTATGATAGGAAAAAAGAGAACGCTTGATTTTCCTGGAAAGGAAGCAGAGGTTGAACTTTGCATCGAACCGGACCAATTAGAAACATCAGGGCTTAAAACCCATGAAAATTTCCACAGCATATCTAAATTAGCGAACTTATCTTCAGCTTTGAGGTCTTCAAGCTCTAAAAAAGTTGTCTTAATTTTTTTTTCACCACCGTTGTAAAAAGACAAGTTAATTTTTTCTGAAACACGAACAGTCTCGGAACATTCGTTTTTCCGCGGTACTAATTTACATGATTCAAGAGCTGGGGTAATTAAAGCCATCATTCCCATACCGTGAAAAGTATTATTACCATCGATAGTTTTTAAATTATGATCAACGTTATCAGCAACGAATTGCGTGAATTGATGGGGCTGTAACTGATCTAAATGGTTTTGAGACATAATTGCAGCATTTTTCTCATATTTTAAAATTTCCATATATGAGACGCTAAAACCCATTTTATGCAGAATGTCTATGTGTTTTCTTGAGGGACATAAATGGTGCATCTGGACACCTAAAGCAACCTGGAGAGGAAGTAACAACCCTCTTGGCCTCAGCATTTGGATGATGGCATGGCCAATGGAAACTTTCTTAAGCTCATTTTGCTTTTCGGGCACTAATGCATCTAAAAGCACACGCAAATATTCAGGTATCACACTAAAACATGACTCAACATTTTTTATGTCTGATACTGAGGGATAAAAATCAGTTGAGTGCTCAATTTGTTTACATGCTGACCTTATCAATTTTCCGGCCGTTTTTATCAGTCTTATTGTGTCATCTTCGCCTTCCTCTTCCTTATTTTTGGTATAAAACTGTCGCAGTATGGATTCTGCTCTTTGTCGTAGAAATATTACGTTTTTTTTACCTTTAGATTCTGCAATAATGATTTCGTCCTTAAAATGCTCTAAAAGCTTATTTTTAAGATATTTAATGGAGTACGGCTCTAAATTTTTGGACGATAAGATTCTCCTCATCTCTTCCTGAAGTTCGGTAACTGTACAACAATTTTTCTCATCGCAAAGTTCTTCACAATGTTTTAACACTTTGACAAATGCATCAAGTTTCATCAAATCCACCGGACGGCCTTTATCAGGAGCTTCATGTTGATATTGTATTGTAGACTTACCGGACGATTCGGACGTTGAAAGTTCCGGCTGGCGATTTTAAACCCCAATTTTTAGAGTTACGTCAGTTGAGAAAATTGTCTAGGAGTAACAATGGCCATCCAAACGCCTATTTTATTATAGTCTCCGTCAGTATCGATTAAGGTATCATTTCGAGGAACACGGTCCATAGATGTCATCCATTGTGGTTGTAAAAACCATAGTTTTTCCACCTAGATATTACTGTTACACACATTGTCACTGGATCGTCGAGTTAAAAGCACAGAATAAACAGAGGTGAGGGGAACCATGCATGCACCATACTGGTGGATTACGGCATATATGTATACCATAGAGGCTGTCTAAAAATTACGTTGGAGTTCCAGCTGAGGATATGTAGCAACATATTTTTATTAGCCGTTCTGCGCGTCCGTCACGGCCAGCCAAGGGGCTGCGCCCCCTGAACCCCCGATCAACGCGAGTGACATTCGGCTCGCTCCGCGAGCCATTTTTCTCGGTGATTGGACATTTGATCACTAAGATGTATACATTTTGGAGACTCTGGAGGCAAAAATGATTTCGTCACAGAACCTTGTTGCCGGAGCGTGCCATCATTTGCACATGAATATATGTGTGGAGATGAAGCGATGATGGGGATCGATCATTTCTTCAAAAACGCATTTGACTGGAACGCCATTCCATCGGGTGACGGAAAAAGACAATCCATGGCTCTCCTTCCGCGATTTGACTTGCTGAAGTAGCAAAAGTTCATCTTTACCTCTTAA